GATATTATAAATCTCTATTATAATTAACTTTAAGAAAATACTAATCACTTTAGATATTACTAATATAGTAGAACATAATATAATATTAGGACTACTATAGCTATAGAAGTATAACCCTACTATTAATTAGTTTACTAACTAGCTAATCTAGATAATAAGGTCTAATTAGAAATAATTAAAGAAGGACTTAGCCTTTACTACTTCTTAAAGATAGAATGTATATAAGTTATAAACCTATAGAATATTATTATATCTAAAGAAAGATATGCCTAGAGAGATTATAATAATACTAGAAGAATATCACTAATATAATAAACTATTCTAAAAAGAACTAGAAATAGGATTACTATTATATTCATACTATAACTATAAGATACCTCTTAAATTAGAGATATAGCTAAAATTCTAGAAGATCTATAGGTTAAATAAATTATAGCTAAGTAAGCTAAAGAAGTATCTTAAGAAAAATCTTAGAAAGAGATATATTTAACTATTATAATTATTAATAGGATATCCTATCCTCTAGATACTTAAGAAGAATAGTAAATAGAGAATATATATTAACTATTAATAACTTAATAATATTATAATTAAGAATAGGTATCTATTATTATTAATTATTAAACTCTATAATAGGTTATATAGTGCTAACTAATTTACTATATTAGACCTATTAGATACCTATAACCTTATATATATTAAGAAGGAAGATAAGTAGAAAACAACCTTTTATACCTATCTAGGATATTATAAGTATCTTATAATGCCCTTTAGCCTTATAAATATGCCTATCTTATTCTAAAATATAATTAATAATATATTATAGAAGTACCTAGATAACTTTATTATTATCTATCTTAATAATATCCTAATCTACTCTAAAACCTTAGAGCAGTATTAGAAGTATGTCTACTAGGTACTATAAGCCTTATAGGATGTAAATCTATTAGTCAATCTAGATAAAAGTTAGTTTTATATCTAGGAGGTGGTTTATCTTAGACATTTAATTAAATCTAGATAAGTCTAGATAGATCTAATAAAACTAGAGGCAGTTAAGAACTAGCCTATACTAATAAATATTAAGAAAGTATAATTCTTCCTTAGATTTACTAACTACTATTAAAGGTACCTAAAAGATTATAGAGGACTGATAATCCTCTTAACCAATCTTATAAAGAAGAATATTAAGTTTAAATAGACATCTAAGTACTAAGCAGCCTTTAATTAGATTAAAAAGAATATACTTAAAGAACTAGTTATATAAATAGCCAACCTAGACTAACTATATAAATTAGAAATTAATACATCTAACTATATCTTAAGAGGATAACTTAGATAGTATGATAATAATAGAAAGCTCTATCTAATAATATACTTCTTAAAGAAGCTATATAGACTAGAACTTAATTACTAAATCTATAATAAGGAACTTATAGTGATTATTAAGTGTTTTAAAGAATAAAGACTATATTTAAGTGATATATAATATCTAATTATAGTATTTATTAACTATAAGAATTTAATATACTTTATTATATTAAAAGAACTTAATAAAAGATAGATATAATAGGTAGAATTCCTCTTAGAATTTAACTTTAAGATTATATACTATAAAGAATCTAAAAATAATAGAGTAGATATACTTAGCTAAAGGCTAGACTATAAATAAGAGATACCTATAGAAATATAAGCTATTCTATAGATATAAACTAATAGAAGTATAGAAGATGTTTCTTAATAAATTATACTTATTAAACTTATTATACTACTAGATATATTAAAAGAATAAGAGATCTATTAGTAATATAATAATAATCCTTATATTAAGAAAAAACCATCTAAGAGATTATTAATTAGATATAATAAATAATTATACCTATCTTTAACCTTAAGAGAGAAATATATATAAGAAATATATAAGGCTAAAGCCTATAGGCATAAAGAAATTATATAGACTAAGATAAGAGTCTAAGAAATATATAACTTCCTTAAACTTAATAAGATAGTCAGAAAGATATAGAAATCATACTATAAATATAATAATAATAAGATATTAAGATATCTATCTTATAGAGAACTATAGCCTATCCCTATACTAGAATAACCCTAATACTTAGTAGCTATAGACTTTATTATTAAACTACTAAAGTTTAAAGACCTAATTAATAGAATAGAGTATAATAGTATTCTAGTAATACTAAAGTAACTTACTAAGTATATATATTTCCTTCTGCTTAATAAGTTATATATAGTAGAATAACTTATATTTATATTCCTATAAATAGTAGTAGTTAACTATAGAATATTATATAAAATTATTATAGATTAAGAACTGATATATATATTAAAGTTCTATATATCCTTAATAAGATAACTTAGAGCTAATAAAAAACTATCTATAGTCTATTACCTATAAACTAATAGATAGATAGAATATCTAAATTAGGTATTAGAAGTATATTTATATAGCTATATTAACTATAACTAAGATAACTAGATAGAATTATTACTACTTATATAATTTATATATAATAATATATTAATTAAGATAACTAAAGTCTTACTATTTTTTACTAACTATAGCTAAAACCTAAAAGTATACTAATAACTATAAGATAAGGTTAATATAGAATCTATAATTCTTAAGATAGAATATCTTAAGAAGTTATATATATCCTTAAAAATAGAACTTAAGTTTATCTAAGAATAAGTCTACTATTACTATAATAGAAAAAGGATAAAGAGACTATCCTTCTTAAAGGAAGATATAGTCTATCTATTATAAAAAAACATTATTATAAAGTAACCTAATAATAAATTAGACTATAAGAAATTAGAATTCTTTAAAATTAAATAGAGAATCTTAATATCTAACTATAAGCTATTATTACTAGAAATAATATAAATTTATCTAATTTTTTATATTTTCCTATTAGAACCAACCTCTTTAGGAGTATGGCTAGAGAAACTAATAGAAGTAAAAGTAGAAGAAGAAGAGTATAAAGTTAAATAAATACTTAAGTAGAGAATATTAGATAGAAAGTACCTAATTAAGTAGAAAGGTTATAATATTATAGAAAATATCTAGAAATCTATTAAGAATTTAATATATTATTAATAGAAGCTTTAATAATTCTACTAATAAAGTTAGTATCTAAAAATAACTAACTATTATCTAAACTAATAATACTTTAGTTAATTATATTAAAACTACTATTAGCCTATACCTCTAGGATTATAGAAGACTCCTATATAGCAGCTTTAGACTTCTTTCACTCTATTTTCTCTAGTTTATCTAGATTTTATAAACCTTAGGCTACTATCTTTTATAAATACTTATAGGTATTATGTTTTTATTTATAAATATAAGAAAGATAGGTAGAGGCTTTATTAAACTCTTTTTAAAGAGCTTGTTAATACTTAAAGATAGACTTAATTATTTTCTTACCTACTTCCTCTTATTATTTCAGTCTTTTCTATTTAGCTAAGACTTAAGATACTAAATAGAGAAGTTAGCTAATATAATAGGAAGATAATAAAGAAAATAGTTATTAATAAGAGCCTATTAGAATATCAATATTATTATATAACTAACCTCTTCTAGTATACTTAATATACCTCTTTATCCCTTCTATTATTTAATAAGATAGAGAATAATTAAAGTACTAGAAATAGGGTATAATTTTATAATTATAATCTTTAATTATATAAGTAAGAGCCTTATATTTCTTAAAAGAATTAAAAAGTTTCTGTTTCTTAATATAACCTAAGAATATATTATTAGAAGAATACTAAAAGAATTAAAGGAAGAGTTTAATATCTATAATAGAAGTTTTAGTTCTAGGTAGATAGGTCTTAAGAATAGCCTTAGATTATTAGGATATTAACCTAAAAGGAGGATATTATATTATAAAATTAATTGCTATTACTATAGGGTACTGCTCTTAAGAGCAGTCATTATAATAAGATAGGTAGAAGTGTATAGATTATATAATTACTATAAGATAAGTGATTATAAGTAATCTAGTCACTATAGATCATAATGATCTATTATAATCTATTATCTATATATATAGATATATATCTACCCTTAGATATCTACCCTAGATAGCTCTCTAGTATTTAAAGTATCTTATTTAATAAAGCATCTTTAAGTGAAGCTATCTTAGCTACGATCAAGTCAACCACTATTGCTTAGTAGCGCCTATCACTTACTGCTTATATAAACCTACATACCTCCAGTCCTACGAAGTAGTCTTACCCCTTGGGACCAAGGATCGTCACATAGGTGAACCTTAATGCTATCCCTTGAGGAGCCGTAACTGCACTCACGTGAACTACTTGCCCTCTTCAGTAATCAAGATCCCTGTCAATCCCTGTCTGTGCCACTGTCATTAGCTGGAGATAATCTGGAATCATGTGACTGCAGTTACGGCTCTTCAAGGGATAGAAAACAGAAAACAGATGTCACGTGACGGGCACCCTCCAAGTACTTCCTAGGTTTCCACAGTGCGCAGAATTATCTTAGCCTCAATCAACTACAACATTTTGACCTTCAAGATCGTTAGATCGCTACAATCTGGTGCCCGAACGCCAGAATTGCCTCCTCAACCAGCCTTGTTGGCGGTACCAGTGGATTTGGACCATTCGTATTCGAATCACGCCAAGCGATCGAACCAACCGCATTCAAGTCACGCCAAACAACCAGTCGTTCAAACCAACCGCATTCAAATCACACCAGACCATCGTTCTCATGGCAATCGACCCGTGCCTCCGAGCCCGTCAGATCTTACGATTTTACGGTACACAACACACCCATGCCAGAAAGATCACCAGAGACGATTTGACAAAGGCCCGCGATTTCATTCCAGGCACAGGATGTCTTCAAAGTCGTACAGGGTGATCCAGGAACGACTGTAGGCTTCATCACTGAGCGAATTGGGGAGACCGACTTCGCTTTGGCAAAACTGAAGGATGGCATCGTGTTTGAGAATGTCTTCATGGACAGCAATACTGCGGTCAGAGAATTCGAACATTCTTCCGACCAGAAGCTGGGGGCAACTTACATGATCGACTCCTTCGTGACCGGCAAGCAAGAACTTTTTGGCCTGGGGGAGCGATTCACAATTGGGCGAAGGAGAGGAGAGCACAATCTCTACAATCCGAGACCAGACAGGAAAGACCTGCTCCCAATAGCAGATGTCTGCTATATTGCTCTACGACAGGGAGCATATGCAACAAACCAACCAATTATCACAACAAATCCAATAATCCGCGATAGAGTCTGCGGGTCAGCTCTTGTACGATGCGAGAAGCCAAAGGGAAAGGGCCCAGGAAACAGTGATATTTCAATGACAGGCTCTGTCTCAGCTATGATGCATTTTGCGGATCTACAGTCCCTGCATGCAGATAATGCTCTGGGGTTTCTCTGCTATGCTGACTCTGTCGATGCGCTTATCGATGCCGGCTGGACGGTCGTGAAGGAAGCTGATTTTGCCATTATCAAGGAGGATTTGGATAGCGTGGAGGTTAAGGAGAAAGCTGATGGAGACTCTGGCTCGCCTTCTAAGAAACAAAGACGAGTGTAATATACCAAATGGTAGACCTTAGGGTCGACGTTTCCACATACTCCATGTATGGCCCTTTTGAGGAATCTCTGACCAGCATGCCCTGCTTCAAGGGTTTCAGAGGGGAATGACTATTCTTGCACCCTCCGACAGCTATTCTTGCACCCTTGCGCTCGAGCTAGCCCTATCAGGAGAGGATCGTCCACTATGCTCCCACATCATTGACCAGGCAACTTCTGATGGGCGGCAATGCTAAAAACGTGAAAAGGCACTGCAGCTGGTGATAGTAAGATATCAAGTATTAAAAGCACATTACTTTGGTGATCACTGGGGCTGCTGTGCTATGCTCCCAGCTCCCTGGGTGCGCCGATACCCAGCCGGCCGGCTGGAAAGTGGCTTCTTCATCCCTGTAACCTACTCCGTACTTTGACAGGGACATCAATAGGTGGACGTCTATCTATCCGGGTGTCTTGTGGCCACTAGCTAGACCTGCCTAATCCGTGGCACCTCTTGACCTTCGCCTCCACACCACAAAGCCCGATGTCGCGGGGGGGTTGAGTGATAAGCTCCATTCCACCCAGCCCCTCTGTTTCAGAGGAGCTTCCAACCTGTATTCATATTTCGACTGCTTCTACAAGCTAGCGAGTATTTCTGTGTTTGATATCCTGGTCTCGGCGCCGTGCTTGTATGAAATAGTAGAGCGGCAGTAACAGCAAGAGCAAGGCTGGACTAACATCATGGGTTCCAACGGGTCCAAAGTTGCCCAGGACACAGCGCTGCACGAGAAGGCTGTCCTTGAGCGCCTCCGCGCTATGCACATTCAGAGTCACGATAGGAGCGATGAAGGCTATGTCTACGTCGATGATCAGAAATCGGAGCCGGCGGATCAGATCGATGAGAAGGCCGCCAGGGCACTCAAGTCGAGGACGCCGGAGAATATCTCCGTCTCACAGATGGGCGCCTGGCAGAAGTGTCTGCTGCAGGATCCAAAGAACAGGCAAGTATAAGTATGCCCGGGAGGCGGCTTTAATAGTGGGCTCACAATACCTCCAGGCTGGCTTTGGCTGCCCTCTCAGCAAACAATCCCAAGGAACTGCTGTTGTCTCGTGCCACCCAGATCGCGGATCAGCAGGTCTTCAACGTCAAGATCCCCTTCGAGGGTGGCCCCATCACGAATCAACGCAGCAGTGGCCGGTGCTGGCTCTTCGCGTCGACGAACGTCTTCCGGGTGGCCCTGATGCAAAAGTACAACCTCGAGGCGTTCGAGCTGTCGCAGGCATACCTGTTCTTCTGGGACAAGCTGGAGAAGTCCAACTGGTTCCTCGAGCAGATCATCTCGACTGCGGACCAAGACCTCGACTCCCGTCTTGTCCAGAGACTGCTCGGCGAGCCCCTTAGTGACGGCGGCCAGTGGGACATGGTCTACAACCTGGTCGAGAAGTACGGCCTGGTGCCGCAGAGCATCTACCCGGACAGCTACAACGCCATGTCGTCCGGCACGCTCAACGCCATCGTCTTTACGAAGCTCCGCGAGTACGCCCTCCAGCTGCGGGACCTGCTCGGCAAGCCCTCGACCACCTCGGACAAGATCCACCAGGCCAAGTCCAAGATGATGCACGAGATCCACACCATCCTGACTCTGACCCTCGGGCCCCCGCCGTCGCCGACCGACGAGTTCACCTGGAGCTTCCTCGACAAGGGCGGCAGGGCGAAGGAGGTGCGCGCCACGCCGCTCACCTTCTCCAAGGACATCTACAGCTCGGGCTTCCGGGTCAGCAGCGCCGCCATCGCGCGGATGGTGTCCCTGGTCAACGACCCGCGGCACCCGCCGCTGTCGCTCCTGACGGTGGACCGGCTCGGCAACGTCGTCGGCGGGCGCGGCGTCACCTACATCAACGTGGGCGCGGACGCGCTGAAGCGGGCCTGCGTCGCCATGCTGCGGGCCGGGCTGCCCGTCTTCTTCGGCAGCGACGTGGGCAAGTTCAGCGCCGCGGCGAGCGGCGTCATGGACCTGGACCTCATCGACTACGAGCTCGGCTTCGGCGCCGGCGTCGGCATGCTGGGCATGGACAAGGCGGCGCGGGTGCGCACGGGCGAGAGCGCCATGACGCACGCCATGGTGCTGACGGCGGTGCACGTCGACGACGAAAAGTCCGGCGGCCGGCCCGTCCGCTGGCGCGTGCAGAACAGCTGGGGCGAGGCGGCCGGGGACAGGGGCTGGTTCGTCATGAGCGACGCGTGGATGGACGAGTTTGTGTACCAGGCCGTCGTCGACCCTGCGTTCCTGCCCCGGGAGGTGACGGACGTGCTGGACCAGGAGCCGATTGTGCTTCCGCTCTGGGACCCGATGGGATCGCTGGCGTAGGAGTTTGGTGTGAGTTGGTGTTGCGTTTTCTTTTTTTTTTGCCGGCAACGAAAGAGACGTGTCGGGGAGAGAGAGAGACAGGGGGCGGAGATCTTGACGCGAGTAATGGTTGTACGTTTTTTTGAGTATTCGTTTTACGATACATCAGCACACAATCTTGAGTCACCTCTCTCACCTCTGATCATTCTCTCGCTCGGTCAAGCCCGAATCAGTCGTCAATCGAAGGATTTTATGGAGACCGAACAGTATCGAGCCATGTCTTATGTTCGCCCTGTTGTTCGCGATTGGCACAAATGCCCGTGGAAGTCCAAGGTGCAGTTAGAGCATCTGTTGTCAAACACAAGAAAACTTCTAGGATAACGTGTTCCATTCTTCTGTCTCTCTCTCTCTCTCTCTCTTTTATTTTCGGGATAATTCCGTATCCAGTTTTTGGGGCCTCGAGCCGGGCCCCATGCACGAACAACGTATACCGTCGCACTCAATGGGCGACCGGCTTTAGGTTAGCTGCATTCCCGAGCCTTGAACACCGGCGGGCGCCGTGCGTGCGTGCGCGTACGTATGCATTCGGGTGTAGTTCCAGCGGTTGCAAATGGGGGTGGAGTGCCCATGGAACTCCGGTCGCGCCACCGGCGGGCGCCGACCCGATGTACCACAATTGCGCAAAGATCATCGAGGGAACTGCAGGTGGAAAGACAAAGTCTGTTCAGGTTACCTTTGTTTTTTTCCCGTATCGGGACGGGGGTGAGGGGGGGGGCACGGGCGGCGATGGAGCCTTGCTCTGCTTTTTGCTGGTCCCACGCCGTCCCGGTCGGGAGGGGTGTCCGTATGTCCGCCGGAACCGTCTGTCGTGTCCAGTCGCTTGGCCCACCCCGACTTTTACACGACAAGCCCCAGCCGCCCGCGGGTTTTGGATGGATTGGGGACTTTGCAGCGGTCTCTCATCTGCATCGGCAGATCGCAAACGAGAAGCAGTGCGACGAAGCACCGACAAAAAAAGCAAAATAAAACCGCCCGACATCTACCGGCGTTCCTCAGCATGGGAGGAAGATCTCCATGCAGTAGCTCGCTGGGTCTAGCTTTGTTTTTTTGTTAACCGAGGATTGGGCATCAACTTGATGGTTTCTTAGCGGCAGCATGTCCGTAATACCGGGTCGACAGTGCGACTTGAGGCAAGAGACAGGCGACAAGAGACGAGCAACAAGAGACAGGAGACAGGAGACAAGAGACATGGCAGTCCGATGGGATTCGTTGCTTGATCGAGCCCGGAGCGTATGGAAGCTAAGCAGCCTCGGTGCCAAAGATCCGCAATGCAGTTGAGGGTTATTCTCCAATACAAGTACAATTCCCTCATACGTTGTGCTTGATCAGCCTTCCATCCTTGGATAGGCTCAAGGAATCCGGCCTCGTTGCAAGGATGGTCCTGGTTGTAGGATGAAGCCGGCCGGCCCTTGGGCTTCTACGGTTGTTATGACCTCGAGCCTTTCACCGTTGGGTTGGAACAACCGAAGCCCAACATCACGCCTGGCAACGGACGGCTCCTGCTCCACAGCCTGTCACCCTGTTTTTTCCCATCTCAAGCGAGTGTGGAGTGGTGGCCGGAAGCCCAAGAGGGTTTGCGATCGCCGCCGCCGTGTGACCACGAGCTGGGCCGGCCCACATCGCGGGTGCAAACAGAGGTAAAGAAAAAAAAAGGACAGGGTCCAGGGGTAGTTGACCACATACAAGTACAAACAGATCAATTGGGGATTTCCAATTAGGCTGGATTCGGCCCTGGGGCGAGCAGATGCGGGAATATGCAAGCGAGGGGTCGTCTCTCATGCAATGAATGGTATAGCAGTGTTTTCTTTTTTTTTGGTCTTTTCGTTCCTTTCTCTCTTTCACGATAGCGGGCATTTCGGGGCTGGTGGGGTGGCAAAGAGAAGAAGAGTCGCATTCCTGCCACCAAGGCATCTTGGCTGCTGCTCCAGATATTTTTGGCCCCTATGACGACAACCTCTGATTTACGAGACGGGCTGGCCCGGGCGCGAGACCTCGAGACGAGATTCTCCCTCGTCCGAGTCTAGAACTGGTACGCGTTCTGTTTGTATGTAGGCCTCAGCTGATCTTATAGATCACTTAGGCCGCATTATGAGAACTGACCTCCTCGGGGACAGACCCTTGCCCGTTGTCGAAGCAGGTTCTTCTGCCGTGCATATGCCTCGCTGCCCTGGAAGTCACAGTCGCAGTGCGTCTGGATACGGAGAATTCCCAGCTTCTGGAACAGCGGCCCAGCGGAGACATGTCGCACCAGGGATGCAAGTCAGGAAAGGGTCTTGTAAGTCGGTGGAGCCCCCTCTTGGGGTCTTCGGGTCTTGGGGTCTTGGGCCCGGCCCCGGCAAGCAAAAGCGGGCTCTTCCAACGTTACTATTGATGCTAACTAGTTAATGTAGTCGTGCTAGTCGAGGTGTCGACGCGGGAAGCTCCCAAAGAAGCATGTCTACCTAGGGACGCCAGACACCCACCCGTGACGAAGCAAGGGAGGGGTGGAGGATGGGAGGAGGGGCTCGGCGCGTGGGAGAGTGGGAAGGGGGAGGGCGGACCGGTTCGCTGGGCGCTGGAGACAGGCGGCGGCGCGCGCACCAGCAGCCAGAACTGCTTGGAAAGGTGGGTGGACGTCATCGCAACAACGCGCGCTTGGGTTGCATGCCACTTGACCGTTGTGCGTCTCTCTCTCTTACCACTTTTTTGTTGTTATTCCCCCCCCCCCCCTCCCTCTAGACTACCTACCTATTAGTTACTACCTAGGCACTCGTACATGTAATCCCGCCACTCTTCGGGCAGCATGCCGTGGCAGCCAGTCGCTGTGCTAGTCAAACGTTGGCTGACAGACTGAAATTGGCCGATCATCCCATTTCTCGCTCTCGTGTGCTGCTGCCACTGCTGCCACTTGCTGCTGTGCTGCACCTTTCCCACTCTTTTTTTCCTGTTCCCCTCTCGAAGCGGGCAACGCCGGGCTCGCATGCCTTGCAGAAAACAAAACCGACCGTGCTCCACCCAGGTCTGATTTGTGATCTTCCCTCGACATCCCCCAATCCCTGCTGCTGCCACAGAGTGCTTGCAGCTTGCAGCATATTATCTGGCCTGCAGAGCCTCACAGCGAACAGGATCGATTCCCTCGTTTGCTCGCTTGCTGGCTCTCCCTCGCGCTCACCACGCTCACCACGCTCACCACACACCCCGCCTGTGGATATCCTCCAGGTGGTCTTTCTCTCGGCACCCCCTCAACGCCAGCCCAGTGGTCTGTCTGTCTGTCTGTCTGTCTGTCTCTCTGTCTGTCCAGGAGCGTCGCCGGGTTCTGGACTGCTCTTGTGACCGACCCGGGCCCTGGTCACAACCACCACCACCACCACTCACCACCACCCTTCTCGCTCGCTGCATTTGGCCCGGATCGCACGGCTAAAGAGCGAAATTCCCCATACCATACCCCGCGTCGTGGGAGGCAGAAAAAGGCAACCACCATATCTGTTTCCGGCGCCGTGGGAATACAGGGTTGCCTTGTCCAGTGCGACACCAAGCAAAAATACAGACTCGGTCTCTGGCTTTATCTCGGTACGGGTCTGGCCAGTGAGCCGGCAGCTGTCGGTCACCGCAAACCCCTCCCGTGTCGTTGCGGGAACTTCCCTCCCCTCCACGCTGGCCTCGTGTGCCAGTGAGCAGTCGAGTCTCACGCGTCGCTGGCAACGCATCGCTCTGTACCACAAAACGACGCTGCTCGTGTTCTCTGCTGCTGGATTTGTGGCATCGCATCGCTGAGACGCGAGAGAGGAGAGCCGATAAAAGCACTCCACGAGAGCCCGCCACCCGCGCAGCCTTACATCCACATACGGACCTACCTTCCTACCTACTACCTACATACATACTGCATACAAGCCGACGCATGCCCGTCTGCCCATTCTCTGGCCAGCACATTCGTGGGAGGGTAGCACGCGTGCCACAGGCGCACTCATTGGCGCAGACGACAGGTCCGTACTTGCACCCCCCCAACTGTTTTGCTTATGTACATCTCCTCCCGTCGTATGCATCTGCGCAAGGAATAAAGAGGGGTCGTAAGGTCTGACCCTGTTGCAGGCATTGCAGGCATTGCAAGGGTCTTGACAGTCACAACCCCACCAACGACCACCGCGCCGCCCTCTCTCGCTCTCCTCTTCCGCTGGCTTCTTAAGGATAAGGGCCACCACACCCCTCATACCAGCTTCCTCAGCCCAAACAGATCCCAGACACAGACGGCTTTTGCACACTTTATGCGAAAACTTACGACCGTATCCTGTAGACAACACTCCCTTTACTTGCCTTGACCTCCTATCCTTGGCACCGGCTGGGCGGAAGACCACGATATACGATATAAATCATCCCCGGAACCCCCGTTCTTCGGCGACAAGGCTGACTTGGGCTCCAATCTATATACTACTGAATATTCCCAAAAATAGTTAACACGGCAGCTTCTTTCGAATGATTGCTGCCATGGAACGATACCCTTATTACCAAGCCGGCAGGCGGTCGTCTCCGCCGCTCGCAAACCCGGCCCGCGCCACAGTACCCGCCGGCGTCGGCTACGGCTCCATGTATGGCGGCGAGATTCACGTCATGCCCACCTCCCGCCACGAGTCGAGCCACAGTCGTGGCCACTCCACCAGTCACCGTCCCACAGTCGCGGTCCCGACGACCACGACCAAGTATACGGTCAGGACGGACCCCGTCAACAGGAGCTCAAGCGTGCGAGAGGTCAGCCGCTCTCGCCGCTCCTCGACCATGGACTCGGCCCACAAGAGGCCCATCATCGTCATGACAGACGGTACTAGTGCAGATCGGTCCGCCCGCTCGCCTACTCGGGATCCCTACCGCTCGAGCGAGGAGAACCAGTATTACAAGGTCACTCAACCCGCGTCATCGATGGCATCACGCAGCCACACCCGGAGCTCGTACAGCGGCCATGATCACGCACCCTACAGTGCGACACTCGACAATGACGAGCTAGCCAGGCTGAGAGACCGCCAAGATGTTCGGCTGCCAAACCGGAGTCATCGGCACAGCGAGACCAAATACTCGCAGCCTCCGGCTCGCCATAGTACGAGCTCGGTTGGGTATGGGGCTGAAGGCTACGAATACACTAAGCCGAGCGATCTAGCACGGTACGACTTGGAACACGACCGACCTCCACGGAGGCGGCGGGAGAGTTTCGATCGTGAATACCATCGCCCATCGGTCAGTGTAGCAAGTGATCTGTCCAGGACGTACGAACCCAGCCGGAGAGGCCCCCCGCCTACCAGCCGGGGCCTTGACAAGCTGAACAGGAGTGCAGCCGCCGGGATCTACGACCCCCCGGAAGTCCGCATGCCTTCGATTCCACCGGGCGTCCCCGCTGCACCGCTTGCCGAGGCGAGACCTGGCCGCTCGAGCACGCTTGGAGTTCCGGAGAGCGCCGGCCCCCGAGAGAGGAGAAGCTCGTCTCGCCAGCGCCCTGCCTCGATGTACCAGGAGACACTGCCGCGCTCGTCCCATCACGATGATTACTACGTTGCTCGTGAGAACGATCTCGTGCAGCGGGAGCTGCGTGATCGTCGGACAGAATACTACCCCAACGATCATTCTGCAGGGTCTCATTCATTTTCTGACCGGGTCGGGTCGCGCGGGTTCGGCCTCAGGGTCGAAGGCAGCGAGTTTGACGAGCCTCGGCGTGAGGCTGAGTACCGCGACTACGGCGACCGCAGGTCGAAGCGAGATTCCCGCCATGGCTCCGACTCGCGAGATTATAAGCGCAGATCCGACGAGGATCTGGAGCCACCTTCCCGGGACGATCGCCTCGTGATTGACGAGACTCGACCTCCCAGGGAGTCGCGCACACGAGTGGATGAGCCGCGGGACCGGAAAGCGGACAAGGATGCCGTACCCGTCGATGATGCTGATGAGCCCAAGCGTCTCCGGGATAAAGTTGCGGCCGGCATAGGCATTGCTGCCACTGCCATTGGCATCGGCGCCTCCGGGAAGGAGAAGGAGGAAAAAGACGATAAGAAGGACAAGGACGAGAGGGACAGCAAAGAGCCCCCCCGCCGCCACAAAGAGGCTGTCGATGACCGTCGTCGACACTCTGACGAGGTTGATCCTCCTGCCGCTTTGCCCGAGAAAGAACGCCATAAGCCACGCCGTAGAGATCATGATGAGAACGACAGGCCAGAGCTTGACATTGTCGAGCCACCCAGGCCAAGACCAGGTAGAGACTCGCCCGAAAGCGATCTCGAGACCCGCGAGCGGGACCGCAGGCGGCGTGACGCCGAGGCCCGGCTTACGGGCGAGGCTGTCGAGGCAAGAGGCTCCTCATCGTCAGAAGAAGGCAAGCCGAGGACGCGCATCCGCCGCAAACGCGCATCAGATGCCTTCCGGCCCAACGACCCTGCTGACTTGATGGACATCAAGGCAAAGCTAGCGGCCATGGAGGAGTCGTCGAAGACGGAAGCAGAGAGCGCGTACAAGGGGTCCAAACCATCCAAGAGGGTTTCGGACAGTAGAACTGTCGCACGTGCTGCGTCTCCTGATGGCGAGAGAAGAGCGCCGGCCTCGCCAACAAAGCGCGGATCGCAGAACTCGGACCTTGGTCTCGCTCCGCCGCCTGAGGACGATGTGCGAGGGCGGGAACTGGCCCTCGCCACCCCGGAAGAGAAGCAAGTCCGCGTGGTGTCGCCGCCCCGGGACTCGGACGAGAGGAAGCCGCTCAAGGGCATCCTCAAGGCTCCGAGCTCCAAGTTCCCCGAGGAGGCAAACCCCATCCGCGAGGGCGTCGCGCCGCACAAGGACGACAAGACCAAGGCCGATGTTCCGCCTGGCGCCCGATGGACCAAGATCAGCAGGAAGCTGGTCAACCCCGAGGCCTTGACGATTGGCAAAGAGCGCTTCGAGGTGCGCGACGACTTTGTGATTGTGCTCCGCGTCCTGAGCAAGGAGGAGATCCAGGGATACACGACTGCCACGGCGCAGATTCGAGGTGGGTTGCGCTTTTCTCCGTTCCCCTGATCCTGGCCCCCGTTTTTTTCGTTGTCTTCCTGCTGTCCGCGTCCGCCTTCGCCCATGCCGACCGTCCGTGTGTCCGTCGTCCCTTGTGCTTCGTGCCTCGTGTGACTTGCGCCCAAAAATCGCCCAACCCACGCCCATCCGCCCGCCCGCCCGTCCCGTTTCCGAATCCACGTGCCGACCGTGTCTCTCTCCTAGTCTTCGTACTCTGCAACCCGCTTGCATGGCCACGCCATGCCTGCGTCTTCCCTCCGGCTCTTCTTTTCCTGGTTCTCTCTTCCTTTTTACTTTGTTCCTCCCGAGTTCTAGTCGACCTCCTTTTTTGGCAGAATCATGTGGAAACGGCCGACGAGCTGACAACCCAATCTTTTTGTTTTATAGAGATGCGAACGCAGGACCATGAAGACCGCAAGAAGGACCGGTCTCATCGGCACCGTCGGGACCGGGGTGACGACGACGATGATGTGAGAGATCGTGACCGCGAGAAGGATAGAGAGCGCGAGCGTGAGAAGGACAAGGAGCGGGAGCGTGAACGAGACCGGGACCGTGACCGGGAACGGGAACGGGAGCGTGATCGCGATAGGGGCGAACGGGATAGAGACCGGGAGCGGGAGCGGGAGCGGGACCGAGACCGGCACAGACGCCACCGGTACTCTGACGAGGAGGACGAAGTCCCGCGGTCGCTCGAGTATCACGGGCACCACCACCGGTCGCACCGTGAGCGGGACCGCGAACGCGATAGGGAGCCCATCCCCGCCGATGCTTGAAGGGATCCGAAGCCCGAAGTTTGTTCGATGATGTATGATTTGAGATTTTTATGTTTCGGGAACTGCATCATGACTGAACGACTACGAATACGACACACGATGGATCGATATTGTCATTGGCATTTTTGTGTAAGACAAAATAGCGTGGTGGACTTGAGCTTCTGGATTTGGGACTTTTGATTTTTCTCAGCGTTTTACTTTCCGTTCTGGGATTGGAAATAGCGTTGTTTTTGGATACGTTCTAATGGACATGTAGTCCTTGATACTTTACTTGCGAGGCATCTTGGGAGCGGGTGAGGGCTTTCAGGGCAGATAAAATATACCAATTTAATTTCCAGTTTTGGCCTTTGAGAGCTTTCCATATCTAATGTAAACTTTTATGGCCACTGTGTCTAGAAGGCACACTCAATCAATACACAAAGTCTAAGTAGCATCATATCGTCGTGGACTGTATCCAAATTCAGGAGAACAGTTCATCGAAGCACTTGAGTGAATTGAGAAGTCTGATGAGAGTATCTAAGCATTGCCAAAGACTTCTTTCATACATGAACTGTCGTGTCGTATGCTTGAAAGACCAGGAAGCAGCTGGTCAGTACTCCCACGTTCATCTCGCAAAGCTCATGTCACTCGATGCCAGGGTCATGCTTTCCACCCGAACTCCTCTTGGACTGGGCGCCGTCCGAAGACATTGCCCATCCGAGGCTGTCGACTCGCTCTCGAGGCCGAGCGACATAAATCTTTTGAACCAGTGTAGAGTCTGGCAGCCCCAAAGGCGATATGTGCACTTGAAAGGACCACGATGACACTCATATCATTGAGCTCCCAGGCGAATCCTATATCACGGGGCGCAGTACACCTGAGTGATCGTCGCTGTGCAGGTAGCATACATGAAATACAGCCTCGCCATCCTTTCGCCCAATGTCACTGGGCGGTGCTGGAGAGAACGAGAGCCTCGCATGACCAATGATTTCTCTTACATGGCCGTCCGTTTTGCCACTTCAAATTGACCGATATTCCTGCTATGAACACCGGCACGAGAAAGTTGGGTGTATGGCACTGTCTCTCTGTGACCCTCAAACCCGCCTCACTCACCTCGCGCACGCCTTGCATTTCCATCTACCTTATCACATGTACCAACCTTTCTCCTCTTTCGGCAGGATAATCCTCGATATCGTTGCACACACTACGGCTACATGCTTTTACGCCCCGTTTCTCTGCTTGGAGTCGTTTTTCCTGCCAGCCAGTCTTTTCACCACCTAGGTAAGCCACCCGTCAACAAAACCATCGGCCATATCATCAAAACCCTCTACGGAGTAGAGTACGCTACGACCCAGCCAGGTCCATGAACCCCCCTGGTCTCCCCTTCCCGTCAAGAACAGACGCGCTCCAGCCTCACAAAAAAAAGATTACAGGGGGAACGAGCAAAGGGGGGGGAAACAACACAAGAAGACACGCACGGGGGGGCGAGGGAGGCATAAACGCGCGACTGCAACGCCAAACACCAAACGGGCACGCGCCCACCGTCCGTGCCCCAAACGACAGGCATACGCACAACCCATCCCCCCTCCCCTGGACTGCCGGCAGCTAAATTGTTCAGGGGGGAAAGAGAGAGAAGAGGAGTGTGTGTCCAGGGGGGCCTACCTAGGCAGGACAGGGTAGCATCGAGCAAGCATTTCTTTCTTCTTCTTCGTCTTCCACGACCAGACAAGGTAGGTACTTTGTGTGGCGCCATGTGTGGGCGACCAAGGAAAAAGGAGACGAGGCATGGGAAAGCAGATGCACTCTGTACATAAAACAGCCCTTCTCAGAACTTATGCTACCTTGGAGATTGTGATGTGATATGAGAGCACCTCGTATGCTTGCTGCCTTTTGTCAAAGACAAAATCGAAGAGGAGCAACGGAGCAAAGAAGACCCAGTCATCGTGATCAAGCAGGGGTACACAAGAGAGCGAAAGAGAAAAGGAAGATTCGGTAATCTACAAGCAGGTCCTCTGCGACCTCCCGGGCATGCCGGAATTGCAGTAGCAAAAGATGAAAAGTATCGGACAATTACCGTCATCACGTAATAAAGGATGCGCAATTTGACAATGGGCTGCTGGTCTCTGCACGTCAAAAAAACACCGTTTGTCCCCGCTGCAGAAAGCGAGCAATTGGGAAAGTGGGAAATGTTCACAAAAGGCGGCACTTTTTCCGTAGCATCGAGAGGACCAGAGCAAGCGAGACTGGAGCTCTTATTTTTAGGAAGTCTTGGCGGAGCCTTACGAAGCGGCCATCACACCCCCTGGGCCCCCGCATGTAATTTGCATCAGAGGCAAGAGAGGCACATCTCCTTACTCCGTACCTTAGGAAAGCTTCCGGAGCTAATGAGCTGTCGACTCTCGTATGCCTCCGCGTACAGCACCATCTAGGAAAAGCCAGTTCTGAGCTTGACATGATCTCATCTCCGGCTGCGTATTGGGCTACATCGGTCCCATCAGACTCTGCTCTCCGGGAGCCACATGACAGGCGCACGCCGCGCGCGTGTGTGCCATCATGGTGCCCGCTGTCCCGTTTGCGTTGCAAGAGCTTGCACCGCACAACCATGGGAAGGGACCGCGGCCAATTGCGACCTGATAGGAAATGATCGAGATGGGACCGCCTATTGACCTGCAGACTGGGTGATTTCTAATCATTTAGCGAACAAATGACCTGAAATCCGGATACCTGCAGGACATACGTCTGAAAAAAAAAAACCCTTCCTTTTGCCCCTATGATGCTTTCTTTTTACGGTCAGAACGGGGGTTCTTCCCGATGCCGAGGAAGAGGTGGAAAATGAAAAGAAGAGGCCCCGGACGAAAGAAGCAGAGATCAGCATTGCTCTTCTTTTTGTAAGAGCTAGGTACCCTCCCGGGGAGAGCTACCGGTACTGTAGTGCAGGCGGCGTGCAGCTCCTGAGAGCTCCACCTGGGAAAAGGAAAGGCGTCCGCCTTCCATGCTGGCCACCAACCTACAGCGGCCGGCACCTTTCCTGTTTCGCCTCCGCTGTGGGAGTTCCGACCCTCCGCGGGCCGTTCCCACTCCCTCTGCCCTACCGATTCAGGTCAGTCACTGGTCCAGAGAAAGTGGCATGCTGGTGCGATTGTGGTAAAGAATGGGCTTGCTTTGGGCTGGCCCGCACCCCCCTGAACAAGAGACCAGAGCCAAATGACCCCCCTCCCACTCAAACGCACCCGAGCTAGGTAGTTAACAAGCCTCCCTACCTGACTCAACGGCTGCCTTTGCGGAGCAGATGAGACATTGACCAGCATGAATAAGCTACTGGAGCTCACTCTCTCTGCTGTCCAAAACGGGAAGTGCAGGACCCATGCAAATGAAACTCACCGGCGGGTGGGCACGGGACTGCAGGGATTCATGGCATTGATCGAGACCTGGCCGCGCGAGGCTGATCAAAGTGGCCAGAAAGAGTCGACGTGACCATGCCGGGTTTCTCCTCAGCGACAGGGACCGGCCGGGATCCCGGGTGGGACCGTCTTGTTCGTCAAGCAGGTCCTCTTTGGACAGGCGAACAAAAAGCCCAGGCACACGCAATGTCCAGGGGCTTTGCCTGCAGGGGAAGGAGGATGGGGACTCGAACAAGGATCAGGATCCTCTCTCATTGTTCCGACCCACCCAGCTCTGAAGGATTAGAACGTTTCCCCTTGTTACCGCGCTCGTTCTGCTGAGACGCCCGGAATGACTCCAGCACCTTGGTCGATAAAGTACAGACAAGCACGTTCCCTATCGACAAATCGTTGGATTGGGCAGTTGATCGGCGGAAACACGACTGCTTTCCTTTCCATGACCCAACCTGAGGCGGGCAATGTTTCGGTTTCTTGCTCGAGTGGCTCACCATTCGGTCAGGAGGTCCGCCTTTAGTGAGGTTCAGAGAGTACAGGGTACCTCAAGTCCAGCAATTTGCTGCGCCATATGACTTGGACGGTCGTGAGTACTTCGTACAAAGTAGAGTAGAGCTGGCAGCCACTTTGGTTCAAAGTTCCCCACAACTGGGAAACGGCCTGCTTGCCCCAGCCACTTGGAGCCTATTGAAGTCCAGAATGTACGAAAGTGATCAACAAAGGTTATTTGCGAACTGCTTCAGTGGCCGTTTGGGCAGCAAAAGCCTAGGTCGTTGTCCAAGCGGGACTGGCTAGCACGGCTAGCCCTCGAGCAAGGCTCCGTGTCCGCGATACATGGTCTAGACCATCCATTGATTGGTAGTCTGTAACCTGGGCCTTTAACGATGTTGGCTTCCAACGTTCAGACCTGCGAGAAGCAGAGTAGCACTGCGATACCTGTGGACGCGATTGATCATAAAATTGTCCGAGAGACTAGCGGTCAGGCTTGACAAGCGGTCAGGGTTCCATGCCAGCCAGCCAGCCTGGCAGGCATGATAGGCAGTCGAGTCGACAGGCGTAGTCCCCGCACCAAGTATATTTGTATCTCGGAGATCCACACGATGCTGCAACTTTGGAAGAAGCAACCAGCCGAGGTGGCTGGTGTGAAAGCAAACATTGATTCTCGACGCGTTCGGTAGTTCCATGGTGCACTAGAGGAGGCATTGACGTGGCAATGTGCCTTGCGAACTGGCTGAGACATTGTCTTGATTGTGGGCGTGTCTTGTCAAGCCTTGGTGTTGTTGTAATCAGCAATGGCTAAGTATATGGTTGAAAAAGCTTCGCTGTGGACCCTTTCCTGGCCAGCATACCGACTCTGCTCCAAGCCAAGTATTCAAGTCGGGCGATGTGACCCTGTGAATATGATCAAGAGTGGGATTGTGGTCTTTGGATACGTACTTGCTGGCTAGGTAGCTATCAGAGAAGAAGGCATCCGAGTAGTCACGACTGCGTTGTTTCTGTAAGCTACTGTAGATACAAGTAGACTTGGTTGAGACAAGGTCAAGCAATGGATTATCCTCGCCTTTGGCCGACTCACCCCAGCTGCATGGCCGTTAGTGGGTCGGGAGAGGTGTGGACGCTTTCGTA